CAAGAGAAGAATAAATTACAGATGGCTGATACCAGAAGGTCTCATGTTTACCTGGCAGGAACAAAGACACAGAATTGATACAGTTGAAAAAGCAGAGTTATTCTATCTGGAATATTTCAGAGGAAAGGAGGAAGATACAAGAAAAGAAGAGTCGTTAATTGAATTTCAAGAGGAATGTATAGCAGTAATTGAAAAAGAAGAAGGAGCCGTAAGTGGTGTACCCAGAGAGCAACAAGAACCAAGATCTACTAGAGCAACAAATCCTTCTTATAAAGTCTAAAATGGATGAGAGAAAACTGATTACAATTAATATAAATGGACTTAATTCAGCTACTAAAAGAAGAAAAATATTTCATAAACCAAAGAAATTAAAATTTCACAACACAAACACATATTGAAACAAAAAAATTAGGGAAATTATTTACAGCGTTGACACAATGTAAAGAGAAGAGTGGTGTTATACATTAGAGATACAATCCCAGCGGAACAAATAAATACAGATGATGATGGAAGGATTTTGATGATGGAGATAATGGACAATAATTTAAAGACACTTTTAATAGCAATCTATGCTCCAAATGATAATCAAGAAGATTTTTACAGGAAATTACATATGAAAATAATCGAACTGGACTATGCTAATATTTGTCTGATGGGAGATCTTAATGGAATAATTAATGACAAATTGGATTATAAAACACAGAAAGCAGCAAAGAAAACTAGAAAGACATTGCCAAAATCCTTCTTTCGAAAGGTAGATGAGATAAACCTAAAAGATGCATGGCGAGAGAGAAATGCGGAAAATAAACAACATACTTTTTATTCAAATAGACACGCATCATAGTCCAGAATAGATATGATATGGATGTCATCAGAATTGCTTTCAAATATACAAGATATTGAAATAGAAACAAGTACCTGGGCAGATCATAATCCAATAACAGTTGTATGGAAAGGACAAAAAAGGAGATCTAGATGGACTCTAAATAATATGATGTTAAAGATTTAAACAGAAAATTGAGAGAGAATTGGCTTTCTTCTTTAAAGAAAACACAAAAGAGGATACATCTGTACAGAACCTCTGGGACACGATAAAGGCTTATACAAGAGGCCTGAGAATGGACTACACAAGAAAAAGAAACATAAAACAGAGAAAAACTTTAAAACATTGGAAGATGACTACAAAAGGCTGGAAAAAGAGTTACAGAAATTTCCACAAAAAAAGACATTAAAATTAAAATGGACATAACTAAACAAAATGGGGCTAATGGAAAAAGAGGAAATAGCACAAAAAATTAAAAAATGCTAAACAGAACTATTTTGAAGATGCAAATAAACCAGGCAGATGGTTAGCTTATAAACTGAGAAAGGAAAGAGACTCAAGAAGGATAAATCAATTAATAAATGAACAAGAACATGTATACTATGGAAATGCGGGAAGAAAAAAAATATTCAAGACTGTTATGGAAAATTGTACCACCAAGAGAATTTTCAGGAAGAAAGAATTCAACAATACTTACAGGAAGCAAATCTGTCCCAGATACCCAAAGATATTGAAATAATGTTAGAAAGTAACATAACGATGATGGAATTAACAGAAGCTTTAAAAAAGCAAAATATTGGGAAAGCACCAGGTCCGGACGGTCTGCCAGCGGAATTCTACAAGACATTTCAGGAAACATTGAATCTTCACTTATTAGAAGTTATGAATGGAGTTATGTCAAGGAAGAGAATACCCAAAACATGGTCAGAAGCATATATTACACTTGTACTGAAGGAGGACACAGACCCACAGCAAGTTAAAAATTATAGACCTATATCCCTATTAAACCCAGATTATAAAATCTTTGCCTCAATTCTGGCAGAAAAACTGAAAAGATACTGAAACAATTGTATTCACTCTGATCAAAATGGATTTCTGCCAGAGAGACAAATTAAAGACAATATGAGAATAATTTTAGATATGCTGGAATACTATGAGGCACATCCAGAAAAACAAATGGCTTTGATGCTTTTAGATGCACAAAAAGCCTTTGATAATGTGAATTGGTGTTTTATGCTGCTACAATTGGAACAAGTGGGCTTTGGTAAAAAATTTACCCAAGCCATAGAAACGATATATTGTAAACAAATTTCAAAGGTTATGATAAATGGAGAGTTAACAGACTTTATAGATATAAGAAAAGGGAATAGACAAGGCTGTCCACTGTCGCCTCTGTTTGTGTTAACACTGGAAGTGCTGAATAGGAACATCAGAGAAGAAAAAGAAATGAAAGGAATGAAAATTTAAAAAGAAGAGTACAAATTGCAAGCCTTTGCAGATGATCTAGTATTCATATTAGAGGATCCATTGGAGTCAGCACCTAAGCTAATAGAAAAGATAGAAGAGTGTGGGAAAGTAGCAGGTTTGAAAATAAATAAAGATAAAACAAAGATTTTAACGAAGAACATATTAGCAAGTCAAAAGAAAGAATTGGAGGAAGTTTTGGGGATCCAGGTCACAAATAAGGTTAAGTATTTAGGGATACATATAACACCAAGATGTAGCACACTTAAGGACAATTATCTTAAACTCAAACAACAGATTGCGACAGATTTGATAAAATGGGAAAATTTACAATTATCATTGATTGGGAGAATATCCACAATTAAGATGAATGTATTGCCTAGAATCTTACATTTATTCCAGACAATTCCAATTAGATTAGGAAAAGAATTTTTTGAAGATCTAAATAAAATAGTGCTAAAATACATTTTTAGGGGAAGAAAGCGAGAATAAAACTTAAATTGTTACAAGATGCAAGAATAAGAGAAGGACTCGCTTTGCCCGATTGGGAATTATATCATCAGGCGACGAGTTTGATGTGGGTAAAGGAGTGGATAACACTAAGGAATACTAGACTTTTGAATTTAGAAGGACATGACTTGCTGTTAGGGTGGCATGCCTTCCTCTGGTATAAGGGAACTAAAACGCAGGGGGATTTAAAAGACATTATATTCGAGAAGCATTGTTTTTAAACTGGGAGAAGATAAAAAAGCAATATTATTTAAATATTCCACTATGGTTATCTACTATTGAAGCTTTTTCTTATCCAATAACATATAAAATGGAACAAACAGTTAGTTATGGTGAAATATTGAATGAAAAGGGTGAGTTTAAATCTATGCAAGCGTTGGAAGAACAAGGTGTAAAAATGAATTGGTTTTCATATTTGCAAATACAATCTAGATTTGATAAAGATATTAAAACAGAAGGTATCTTAGATAAAATTTTGACAGGTACTGATGAAAAAGTAATTAAAAAACTCTATGGACATTTGCTGGAGTTTAAATTACAGGAAGAACAAGTTAAAGAAATGATGATTGCTTGGGGGGGAAATTTTGGATATGGGATTGCCTAAATATTGCCTAGATAAATGGCAAAAATTGTGGCCTCAAAATTATAAAATGACAATGTCAACTGCATATAAAGAAAATTTGTATAAAATGTTTTACAGGTGGCACTTACCCCTGACGAGAATTGCGAGAATGTTCAAGAATAAATTGGATAAATGTTGGAAATGTCATCAGATACCTGGTTCATATTACCATATGTGGTGGACATGCTCGGATGCAAAAAGATACTGGACTATAATCCACACATGGTTGGAAAAAATGATAAAACAACACATAGACTTTAAACCTGAGATATTTTTATTGGGAATTATACTGGAAATATACAGCAAAGAATTGAAATATTTGATTGTAAATGTTTTAACAGTGGCTAGAATTGTATTTGCTAAGAATTGGAAAAATGAAAAAATACCTATGCAGGAGGAAATTATTAAGAAAATCATGGACTGTGCTGAAATGAGTAAATTGACATTTGAAATAAGAGAACAAGAAGATAAACAATGTTATATGATATGGGATTTATTTTATCAATGGTTAGATAAAAAGATATGGTAAAGAAATAGATTAAAAAGTTTTACAATAAAAAGTTAATAGATTGATATAGAATACAATATAAAATATATAACCATTGGATGAATGTATAAGATTAAACTATAATTAAATTTAGAATATCTTGCATAAAATGATGGAAAAATAGTTTAGTCAAATGAATGATTAATTATTGATAAATACATAAGGATATGTTAGATTGACAAGGTGAGAATTTATACAACTTGTGAGTAATGGCAAAAAAAAGGATAGCACAAAAGATTGTAACCAACTGACACACTGTATGTATATAATTGAAAGATGGTTTTATGTTTTTATGTCTTGTTTGTATGTTTGTTGTAAAAAATAAAAACTTTTTTTTTAAAAAAATCTTCTCATGGACCACCAGTTGGTGACTGCTGCCCTAGGACTCTGACCGCAGCCGTTAGAATATTGAAGGACATGTTCTTGCACAGGAACAGGAACCTCAAGCCCAAAGCTAGTATAAAAACCCACCACCTACTTACTTACGCTCAACTCCATTTTGGCAGCCGCCCCAGAACCGCAGTTGGTTGGTGGTTCTGCTCATCAACAGAGAGAATCCCTCTTTTCAACCAGCCTCCGTTTTATATCCAAGGCGGGAGGCCACCTGGGTTTTACTTCCACTGCTACAGCATCCCCGGGGCCCTATGATCAAACCTATGACAACTGATTCACATGTATGACCCCTGCAGGGTCCTGTGGTTACCTTTGGAAACCTGAGGATTCACTTAACAACCCTCTTACTAAATTTAAAATCTGCAGTGATTCACTTAAAAACCGGGGAAAGAACGGTCGTAAAATGGGGCAAAACTCATAAAGAAACGTTTGACTTGGCAACAGGAAATCTGGGCTTCTTCGGTCCCAAAGGAAAGCTCCGGATCCCCCTGGAGTCGGACGCAGGAGGCCGGGACCTGCGGGAACCCTCCGGCAGCCCGAAGCGAAGGGAGCGCCCGCCAGGCCGGCCCCTCCTCCTCCTCCTCCTCCTGCTGGTGGTGCTGCTGCTGTTGCGGCGGGCGGGCGGCCCGTACAGGCCCGGTGGCGGCGGGGCAGCCTCGGCGCGTCCTCTGAAGGCCTCAGTGGGGCGCTCTCGGCCGCAGCTTGGCCGGGGCGGGGCGGGGAGGAGCCCCCGGGAAGAAGAGGCCCGATCCTCGCCCGGAGGCCTTGGCCGCGTGCGGAGAGGCTCCCCGAGGCTTGCCCTGCCCCGCTCGCCGCGCTGCTCCGCCGCTGCCCCGGAACGGCCGCCCGCCCAGATGAACGCCTCCGCCGGGAGCAGCTACCCGATGGCGTCGCTGTACGTGGGGGACCTGCACCCCGAGGTGACGGAGGCGCTGCTCTACGAGAAGTTCAGCCCCGCTGGGCCCGTCCTCTCCATCCGCGTCTGCCGGGACATGATTACCCGGCGCTCGCTGGGCTACGCCTACGTCAACTTCCAGCAGCCCGGCGACGGTGAGGACCCGCAAGGCCCGGCAAGGCCGCGTGGGCGGCGGATTCTGGGAGACGGAGCCCCCCCCCCGCTCCCCTTAATCTTGTTCTGAGGTGGGGGTGAAACCGTTGTAGGACCTCCGGGCCCAGATTGAGTCTCTGGCTCCCTCCCTCCTTTCCTCCCTCGCTCGCTCCCTTCTTTTCTCTTTCCTTTCTCCTCCCTTCTTACTTACCTCATTCTTCCCTTCTGCCCTCCTTCCTTTCTCCTTCCTCCCTCCCTCCTTTTTCCCTCCCTCCCTCCTTCCTTCTTCCCTTCTTCTTCCCTCCTGGGACAGGATTTTTACACCTGGAATAATAAAAGCCAAGCCCAGCTGGCTGCACCTTGTCTGCTGGCCTGGCAAGGCCTCCTGGTGGGCTACTTGGCAGCAAAGGGAATGCGGCTTCCCAGTGCCGCCTACTGGGGTGTTTCCTTAACTTAAGTTGGTCTCACTGGGATTCCCACTGGTTCCTGTTCCTGAAGAGGCCTGGAAGGCCCTGTGGTTGGGTGGTCATCCAGGGGCCGTGTCCTGAAAAGGGGGTCAGAAAAGGGGGCTGTTTTGAGAGAGAGCGCGATCTCACCTGGCTGTCTTAGAAGGACAGGTTCTTCTGTGGTGGTTGGAAGTTGACTTTCATTGACGATGTAGTAGGTGACCCCCCAAAGAGTCCCATGATTTATTGGAATGGGGTTCCCTAGAGGATTTCCTCTTGGGAGCTGCTGGCTCTCTCTGGAGGTGTTGATCCAGCTTCTGAACCAAGAGCCTTCCTCCTCTGACTGCCTGGGCAATGGAGAAGGAACATGGGGCGAAATGGCCCACAGGGAGAAAAGGGCTGCTTTCTGGAGAACGGTTCTTGTATGGGTGGATAAATTTGAACTTTGTGCCCAACTGTGGGTTTCAGATTAAAGATTGATCCCAATTCTAAAAAGGATGCTCATACAATATCACGGAAAGGATGTCTCGAGGGCAAACATAAATGGATAATGTTATTTTGGAGCATCTCCAAGTTCAATCTCTAAAGAGAAGCTGAGATTCAGAGTTGGACTCCATCCGCTCTCAGGAATTGGATCATGTATCGCACTGAGTTACAACTTGGGAGGTTTTTTTCTTTCAGCATGGCATTTTGTGTGATGTGTAAACCGTGCTTTATAGCTTACCTTCTGTTTTGGTGTTTCCCAAATAATCAGAAACGTAAGGTGTGTTCCATGGAAATTCAGAAGATTTTGTAATTCTGGGTAATTCTACTCAGCCTTGAAATGGTCTTTCAGATATGACCCATCAGGGACATTAATGGATCAATATATTATTTCTTGTTCCATCATAGTAATATGACTTGAGGAAACTGTAGACTGCTGAAAGGTGGCTATAAATTCCTCAGGAACTATCATAGATGTCATCGAGGTACGGAATCAACACTGATATTATAATATACCTATGAGAAAACTTTCTTTATTTGAAGATGGGGTAGAAATTTTATATATGCATCCATTATCAGGAAACTTAATTTCTGATAGTGTTTCATAAAGGTAGAACATTACACAGTACTGAATAACCTCTAAAGTATTTGTCCCAGTGCTCAAACCAAAAGAATCTTTATTCTAGTAGTTTTTATTAGCAGGTAGCTTTGGATGTTGGAGAAATGTCTGTGCAGGTAGGGATCCCCCTAATTTTCAAATTCTCTTGTATTACTTCTGTTTCAAATTGCCTTTCCCTTTCAGTTGCAAAGAGTTACCAGCATCTCTCTCTGGAACACCCCTTCCTGCTATAAATAAACGTTGCCTAATTTAACTAGCTGACTAAAGTGCCACTTGAAATGAATGCTACTTTGGATAAAGAAAGACAACTGAGCCTTGTCCCTCAACTAAAATCTTGATCCACATGGGAAAGGAACAAGGACTTGAAATCACACAATTCATCTTGGAGAGCACAGGTTACGCCAGCCCTTCCACTATTGTATGTCCAGTATTATCTTGGACAGTTCTTGGAACCAAACACCACCAAAGTTGGCTGCATCCTTGTCCGTTACTTGTGACAAATCCTGTTTAGGTTATGCGGGGTGCATGGTTGAATAGTTGAATTAGGAAGGGACTCTGGGAGGTATTGATAGAGAACATTTCCACTTCCTCTGCCTTGAATTAGAGCTGGATCAATTAAGAATTGTGTTTTGTGTGACAGATGAGGGTTGGCTGTGTAGCATTTTTACTTCTGAGAGCTGCTTGGTTTTGCCATGTTTCAGTTAGCCTATACAGGAAGAGTTAAAATCGGAACGTGTCAAATTTCCCAAATGTTGACTTCAACCTTAGTTAAGAAGCCATATTGGTAGCTTTGCTGTCATACAGGCATCAGAATAACTGAGTAACAGGATAACAGAATTAAGAGGTACCTTGGAGGTCTTCTAGTCCAACCCCCAGCTCAAGCAGGAGACCCTATACAATTCTGGACAAATGGCTATCCAGTGTCTTTAAAAGCCTGATGGAACCCCAACAACTAGTTAATTGTTCTCACTTAGATTTCTTCTAGTTTGGTTCCCTGCTTGATTAATTTCCATCCATTGTTTCTTGTCCTGCCTTCAGGAGCTTTGGAGAATGGATTGACGCTCTCTTTTTCGTGGCAGCCTCTGAAATATTGGAACATTGCTATCCTGTCATCCCTGGTCCTCCTTTTCACTACACTAGACATACCCAATTCTTGCAACCATTCTTCAGATGTTTTAGCCTCCAGCCCTGTAATCATCCCTGTTGTTCTTCTCTGCACTCTTTCTAGCATCTCAACATCTTTTTTACATCGGGGCGACCAAAAACAGATGCAGTATTCTAAGTGTGATCTTACCAAGACATTTTAAAGTGATATTAACACTTCACATGGTCTTGAATCTATTCCACTGTTGATGTAGCCTAGGATTGCATTGGCTTGTTTGGCATCTGCTTTTTTTTGGCATCAGTGGCATCCTAATCTTTTAAAATCTCAGCCAGTCCTGTATTTTGGCTGCTCATCTGCCACTTATTATTCAAACTGTCTTCCATTCTCAGGCACTAATGTAATTAATTGAATTTAATTGCATCCTGCCTTTATTATTTTTACAAATAAGGCAGAGAACATATCCAGTGCACCATCCTCCTCTTATTTTCCCCACAACAACCACCTTGTGTGCTGGGCTGAGAGAGAGTGATTGGCCCAAGGTCACCCAGCTGGCTTTCATGACTAAGAAGGGACTCGAACCCACGGCCTCTGGCTTTCTAGTTTGGTGCCTTAAGCGCTAGACCAGACTGCCACTGCCCTTGTTAGTTTTTCTGAACCTGTCCAGGACAGCCTGAGCAATGAACGCAATCCTATGTTGGCATCGGGCAGTCCCTCCTCGCCCTCTGAACCCCTTTCTCTCACAATTTAAGGTAGTTCTTGGCATGAGACTTACTCCTAAGCTTCTGCATTTTTATGAACAGGATCTGGTGTGCATATGTCACCGTTTAATGTGCTGCTCAGTATAAAAATAGAATCCTGAAGGATGAGTGGCATGTCTGAGTGTCTCTGTTGCAGAAGGTCTAGCATAGTGGTTCCCAAAGTGGGCAGTACTGCCCCCTAGGGGGCGGCGGGATGCCTTGGGGGCTCTAAGAGGCAAGGTGGCTGGCAGAGGGGCGCTAAGAGGCGGCAGGGGGGCGCTGGAGGTGGGCCTCTTGCAGGGCACAATTCAGGGGTGAGAACAAATCCTGCCACTGCCGCCACATTTGAGGCAAGGCCCCACAGGATCACCCCATTGACTTGCACGCTCCGGTGCAAGGGGTTCAGTGGGGTGATCCTGTGGGGCCTCGCCCCGAACGCAGCGTTGGGAAAGGAGAGCAAACCAGAGCGGCTTTGTTCTCTTTTTCAAACATCCAGGAGAACAAAGCCGCTCTGGTTTGCTCTCCTTTCCCAACGCTGCATTTGGGGCGAGGCCCCGCAGGATCACCCCATTGAGCCCCTTGTACCAGAGCATGCAAGGGGCTTAATGGGGTGATCCTGCGGGGCTTTGCCTCAAACACGGCAGCGGCGGGATGTTTGAAAAGGAGAGCAAAGCCACTCTGGTTTGCTCTCCTTTCCCAACATTGTGTTTGGGGCGAGGCCCCGAAGGATCATCCCAATGGGGTGAGCCTGAGAGAGGGAAAGAGAGAGAAAGAAAGAAGGAAGAAGAGAAAGAGAAATGGGACAGAAAGAAAATGGGACAGACAAAGAAAGAGGGGGGGATGGAAGGAAGGGACAGAAAGAAAAAGAAATAAAGAGGGAGGGAGAGAAATATAATGAGATATCTATTCTAGTCCATTCACCTGCTCCAGCAGGGTTAGAAGGGAGTGGGAGTGTGTGTGTGTGTGTGTGTGTGTTGTAATTTACCAGTACATTTTGGTTTTGCCTTCTTCAGAATTGGTACTGTAATACATTGAGGAAAAGTATTTTTTTAGGGTGGAGGTCTGGTCCAATGGATCCTGTTTAAAGCCTCAACAAAATGTGAGAGCTTCCTGATAGTCTTGGCCATGTTTCATCCACAAAACTTTTAATTAATAGAAGCCAAAGATGTTTCAATGTGCTGGCAAAGATGCTGGCAAAGATGTTTCAGTGTGGAAAAGGGCCTCTAAACTAGGCCTCATTTCAATCTGATGCATCAGGTCTCTCTTTCTCCCCCTCCATCCCCTCCTCTTTCTTTGTCCCTTTTCTCTTTCTTTTCTTCCATCTCTCTTTCTTTCTTTTCTTCCTTCTCTCTTTCTTTCTTTTCTCTCTCTCTCTTTCCCTCCCAGGCTCACCCCATTGATTTGGTGCACCGCTCCACTTGGGCAGGTCCCTCCAGTGCAGCGGGCTCAATGGGGTGGACCTGCGGGGCCAGCACCTAGAATGCAGCAGCAGCAGCGCATTTGAAAAGTAGAGCAAAGCCAGAGGTCCGTTATTTTTGCTGCAAAGAATCACAAAAGCTTCTGGGTTGTGCACAAGAAGGGACAAACATGTCAGTGCAATTCAGCAAAATAAAATAAAGAAATAGAAATAAAACAAATCAACAAGAATCGGCAAAGCATCTCTGATTAGATTCTATTCACTTCTAGAATCTAATCAGAGATGCTTTGCCGATTCTAGTCCAATGACCTGCTCCAGCAGGGTTAGAAGGGAGAGAGAGAGAGTGTGTGTGTGTGTGTGTGTGTGCGCATGGGTGTCAAAACTCCAAAAACAGGTCAAGTAGTTCTGGGGAGGCCAGTCATAAATTAGAATACTTGCTAAGCAACCGGTCATTAAGTGAGGACCAGTTGTATTTGGTTTACCACGCCCATCCAGTCATGTGACCAGCAAGCCACGCCTACCCAGTCACGTGACCAGCAAACCACACCCTCAAATTAGGTCACGCCCACAAAAATTTGAATCCCGCCCCTGGGTGGGGGGCATTGAGGATGAGTTTGTAGCACCAAGGGGGCAGTGGACTGAAAAAGTTTGGGAACCACTGGTCTAGCAAGTGAGAGACTCGCCTGAACCTCCCTTGGTTGCTCGCAAAGAAGCTTTGAATGTGTATTAGTTTATAACATGTTTGCAGTTGTCCAACTCAAATGCTGTGATTCTGTATAAAACCATTTATCCCCTCCCAACACATGCCACTGAGGTAATTTAAAACAATTAAAAATATTCAGGCTGTATCACCAACTGCTAGTACTCATCCTGGCCCAACTACATGGGACTCAACTGCCTTTTGAAAGGCCTGCAGACCCCAAGTTTATTGGGCTTTGGGGAGAAAGATAGTTCCATGTGGCAGGGGCTGGTACCCAGAAAACAGGCTTCCTGGCACGATCTCAGAGAGGAGGTTCAGAATGGATCCTCCCTTTTGGAGCATACCAGACCCACTCACTGAGGAGGAGTTGTGAGGAGGAATAGGAGGAGGAAGAGGATTGTGTGTGTTTGCTGCTTTGAATTACTTATAAAGTAACAAAGAAGGGACATACATACATACATACAGTCGGTCTATAAAATGCGGAGGGGCAGATATTCTTGTGAGAGGGCAGTGCTTACACGAATAAACTGGTTCTGTGCCATGCAAGGCTTCGTTGCTTTCAATTTCACCTGGATGTGCAGAGGGAGCCACTGCATTTGTGAAGTAGAGAAATACCAATAGCTGCCTGTGTCATTATACAAGTCAAGGATACAATCTCCCTAGGACCCTTGGGGCCCCAAACCCACAGCCAGTCTTGGTATGGCTTAGCCAAAGTATGTTCTTACCCAGCTCCCCAAACTTGAGCCAGGCTACCAAGTAACAATCTAAGTCGGGTGTCAAACTCACGTTGTCATGGCGACGTCAGGTGACATATGGCGACTTCCCCCCCTTTGCTAAACCGGGCGTGACTGGCCAGCACATGACGCATCCGGCCCGTGAGCCGTGAGTTTGACAGCCCTGATCTAAGACATCACCAACTGGAATTGGCCCTGGGGGAAGGAGGAGCACCACCCCCTCATTCCCAACCCCCTAAAGTGGTCCAGAAGGATACCATTGTCGGTGGTAGAGAAGGTGCCTGAGAGTCAAGAAGGGCCAGGATGGATGCATTACTCATATCCTGAGCCTGCCACATAGGATATCAACAAGCACCACCAAAGCTTTCTGTATCCTGGTCTGAACCTGACCAGAAGGGGTCCAGATAATCTACTTTTTCCAGGGCTGTAAGCGGTAATCTTCTCCGTAACAAAGAAGGGAAGGCTGGAGATATGATAAAAACGATCCAAGTCACCTGCATCCAAGGCCAACAGGCATTCTTCTCTAGTGCTTGCCTGCGTCGTCCAGGCAGGGCAGAATCTTCTCTGGAATAGGTTATTTCTTTGTCATGCATTTATTAGGTGTTATCAGGCAACGTGTTAGTGTCAGTTTCCCAGGGCTCTAAGTTCATAATGTACTGATATCATCTTCTGCGTGTCTATGCATGTATGTGCCTACATATACATATGCCACCTACCTCTCAAGCTCCAGGTTGTCCTGAGGAAACGCTCCCTAAATCTGCAACATGGATAAGGAGAAAGTGGCGAAAGGTGAACTCCTGAAGGGAGTCCCGTTTGCTTTTTCCAAGGTAAAGTTTCGCTTCTCTCTCTTGCTCTTTGTGCTGTAGCTGAGCGAGCCCTGGATACCATGAACTTTGATGTAATCAAAGGCAAGCCCATCCGCATCATGTGGTCTCAGCGGGACCCCTCTTTGAGGAAATCGGGCGTGGGGAATGTCTTCATTAAGAACCTGGATAAATCCATAGACAACAAAGCACTTTATGACACGTTCTCTGCCTTTGGGAACATCCTTTCTTGCAAGGTGAGTCACAGGCCAGTTCTGTTTCCCAAACTGCGTGGAACTGACCCTCAGAATTGGCTGGGTCTTCTTCCCCACGTATGTCAAATAAGACCGGGCTGCTGGCCTCAGGCACAAAGACTTGAGTTTGTGTAACAGAGCCAGGCCTCAATTCCTTCCTTCCTTCCTTCCTTCCTTCCTTCCTTCCTTCCTTCCTTCCTTCCTTCCTTCCTTCCTTCCTTCCTTCCTTCCTTCCTTCCTTCCTTCCTTCCTTCCTTTCTTTCTTTCTTTCTTTCTTTCTTTCTTTCTTTCTTTCTTTCTTTCTTTCTTTCTTTCTTTCTTTCTTTCTTTCTGAGATTCCATCCAGCATTTCATATAATCGCTTGGTGGGTTTTGCACTCTGGGGGCGGGGAGGCAACTTGTTAAAACATCACGTTAATCCTTGCTTTAGAGCAGAGCTAAGCTGCCTTCTTTATAGAGTTTCTTGGAGCTAATCCCTGCTTTGCAAAATGTTTCAGTGGGTACACATTGGGACACAACTGGGTACTTCTAAAATGTGGAAGTCTGCAGAGTAAATGACTAGTGGTGAAAGAGGGTGGGAGCCCTCTTTTTCTTTAATTATTTTGACGCCGTCTTTCTCTGCAGTGAAATAATTAGCTTGGGAACTGAGCTCCTAGCGAAAGGCTTTGAAATTACCCTGAGAACCTCCTTAGATGCTGAACTGGGGGTGCACCTTACATTTGTCCTTGGGAAACACTTAGCATGGAGTAAGGTGACCTATCAATGCTGGCTAATCCACCCCTGTCGTTTGCAGGTGGTGTGTGATGAGAACGGCTCCAAGGGCTATGCTTTTGTGCACTTTGAGACACAAGATGCCGCAGACCGCGCCATCGAGAAGATGAACGGCATGCTGCTGAACGACCGCAAAGTGTGAGTGTCTCAGCCAGAAGCTGAGACATGATGCATCTCAGTATTAACCCACCAGGCTGCTGGTTCTCCTGGCCCAAGCTTTGGCCTGCTGCCTGTCTCCTCCAGGGCTGGTGAGTTTCCCTGCCCGAGCCACA